TGCCCCCCTCACTCGCCCTCTCTCTTTCCCAGGTTCAAGTTGAAGATGATGACTTCGTGCACATCCGCGTGTATCGGGCTCTCCCTCATGAAAACAAGGCCTTGGCCCTGAGCAACTATCAGACCAACAAGACCAAGCAGGACGAGCTCACCTACTTCTAGTTCTGGATCTTGAACTGAACCTTCCCCACGTGGTTCTCTGCCACGTGGTCGCATGCCGGGGTCCTAAATGAGCGGCGTCTCTGTGCTGCTCTGTGCTGCTCTGCGCCAATCTGGCGTCTCTGCTTCTAACTGTAACAGCGTGATTTTCCTCCCAATCAATGATCTTAACGGAATTTCTTTCCAAGAGGGCTTAGCTGATCTCTAACTAAATACATTTTTACGTTTTTGCAAATTTTCTTTGTCGTGGATTTTTTTCTTCGTCTGAAACCATAACCACCATACAGACGTGTTTACAAAGGTCTTTCACAGCCACGCGCCAGCCTGAGCCAGCTGAGGCCCCTCCACCTGAGGAGAGCCCAGCGGGGTTGCCCCAGGTCCCAGCAAGTGGGTGGTAGATCCAGGACCCCAGTTGTCTGTTCCAGCTACAGCTCTGCACCCCACTGCCTGGACTCTGCACTCTGTCTCCAGGCCTCGGTTGCCCCCCATAAGTAAAAAGACTCGAGGAAACCCGATTCTTCCAATTTTAGTATATGTGCTGCCGAAGCGAGCACTAAACCTGATTCTTGACCATGAGTTAGACATGTGCTCAGACAGTCACACTGTGTTTCTGTAGCAGCAGTCACAAGGCAGGGACAAAGGGTTGCGCACACCAGCTGCCCTGGCACTAGCGGCCTGGGAGGCTGTGCGGTGCCTGCTATAACCCAGAGCATCTGGGAGGGCCTGCCTGTTTCAGCAGGGGTCCTGCCCATTCGTGCGGTCACTATCTGATTGGTTTGCTCTGTGTTTGTGTGAAATAGAATTAAAGAATGTCCCTGACATCATAGGATTAATGACAGTTGGATGAGATTTCTTTCTTTTTAATTTCTTTATTAAGGTATTACATATTTGTCCTCATCCCCCCATTCCGATCCCCCATCCATCCCCACGCATACCCCCATCCCCTTGTTGTCCTCAACCACCGGTTAAGCTCATATGTATGCACTCAAGTCCTTTGGTTGATCTCTCCCCTTCATCCCCTACACTCCCTCTGAGGTCTGACAGTCTGATCCATGCCTCCTTGTCACTATCTCTGGGTCTATTCTTGTTCATCATTTCCCCCAGATGAGTGAGATCATGTCCTACTGGAAATACACTTACAAGAACTGAAAATGAGCCGAAGCCGGTTTGGCTCAGTGGTAGAGGGTAGGTCTGCGGACTGAAAGGTTCGATTCCGGTCGGGGGCATGTACATTGGTTGCGGGCACATCCTCAGTAGGGGGTGTGCAGGAGGCAGCTGGTTGACGTTTCTCTCTCATCGACGTTTCTAGCTCTCTATCTCTCTCCCTTCCTCTCTGTGAAAAATCAATAAAATATATTTAAAAAAAAAAAAAAAAGAACTGAAAATGAGACAAGTGATAATGGTTATAAGTTTGGTGAGATTTCTATCTGTGTGGCTCAGGGCCGAGGTAGAATACAATGAGTGGCATATTATTATGATATCTGAATGCATAATAATCTGGCTACTCCATGTATATCCTATATAATAGAAGGCTACTATGCAAATTGTCCCCTTGAACAGGAGTTTGACCAGCAGGCAAGCCAGCCAACCGCTCATGTACCCTCCTCCTGGCCAGGCTGGTCGGACCCCACCCATGCACAAATTCATGCGCTGAACACACACTGAGTGGCCAGATTATTATAACCACCCCATCAGTACTTCGTGGGTCCACCTTTTGCCTTCAGTACTGTGGCGATTCTTCTTGGCATTCACTCCGCAAGATGTCGGAAGGTGGTGTGAGGAGTCTGACACGGTGCCTGATGAGTAGCACTGTCCAGTCTGTGAGATTTGATGGTTGTGGAACCAGCTGCCTGATGGCTCTTTTAACTTCGTCCCACAAATGCTCCATTGGATGGAGATCTGGTGATTGTGGGGGCCACCTAAGCAAGGTAGAGTCTCCCAGGGCTGTGGTTTATTATGGCAAACGGACACACAGCAAACAGCACAGGAAACAGTCATATAGAGAGAGTCCAGGAGACACCGGGAGGAGGCTTCCAGAATCCTCTCCAGGTGAAGTCACACAGGCCACACTTACCTCCCCCTCGTGGAGCTCTGACGAAACATGTAAGGTGTCGAAATGGAGAACACAGGACCCAAAATGGAGAAATACCCACTTCCTTTACATAAGTGAGTAAAGGTTAGTTAACATTTACAGTAAGTAGAGATGAATTGTGGGCAACAGCATAACTGGTGCCAGTGTGGTTATGCCTCCGAGGGGTTTGGAAAAGAAATTCACGCTGACTTATCAGAGGTATCTTTCCTAGGTGCATAAGAACAATGGGCAGGGCTTGCTTAAGATAAAGATTGACTTTTCTTTAAATATATTTTTATTGATTTTTTTACAGAGAGGAAGGGAGAGAGAGCAAGCTAGAAACATCGATGAGAGAGAAACATCGACTAGCTGCCTCCTCCAAACCCCCTACCGGGTACATGCCCTTGACCGGAAACGAACCTGAGACCTTTCAGTCCACAGACCAATGCTCTACCACTGAGCCAAACCGGTCTCGGCAAAAGATTGATCTTTACCAGGAAGCAATGGGCATGGGATGTGATTGCCCGCATGACCTGCAAACTAGGAATTTATTATCGAATCACCTTTGTGGTTACTGTCAGGCTCACCTAGCAGCGCCCCGAGCTTGTCCGGTCTGCTGTGTAGACCCTTTTTCATTCACACATTCATTCATTCAGTCATTCATTCATGACTGAATTGTAGGGGTCTCTCCTTCCCATCCACACCTGGCCTCCCACCCTTCCTGGAATTACAAACCAGGCTCTTCCCTGGCAGTTACCAGAAAAGCTTGCCTCTCCCACTTTCCTGCTCATGGGCCACTCCCACTGGGGTTCTGCACTGAGCCCTACAGAAGGCAAGGCTGGGCCTGCTCCTGCAGTCAGCACCCAGGGGTGGGAGAGGCCCAGCATCCCCTGAGGTGCAGCCCTGGAGTGGGGGAGGGGTGCAGCCTGAATGCTGCTCCCACTCCAACCTGAGGCCCTGGCAGGCATCTTCTCACTGGACTCCTTTGTGCCTCCTCTGTTCACACACCATCAGCCCTTCACCGTGTGACCCTGGGTCACACGCTGGTGACACCCAGAGTGGCTGGTGCAAGCTGGCTGCTGGGCCAGGTCTCGCAGATGAGAAGTGCAGAGCAGTCCAAGGCACTGTGGAGTGAGGCCAGGCAGGGCCCGGTCCTGGACTCCAGGATGCCCTGGCGGTCTCTGTCCCCCAGCTCCTTCCGGAGCACAGACTTCTCTCCCTCCTGCTCTTGGGGACTCTCAGGTCCGGCTCCCACTCACCTCTGGGTTTCTCCCACCCGGAACCTGCCCTGCCGGCAGTGTGGCAGCGGAGTTCGGAGTTTGTAGCTTCCAGAGCTAAGGCCCAGGCAGTGGGACTGTAGCTTCAAAGGGGAGGAGGACAGATCACAGGAAGATGCGGGAGCAGAAGTGTGGTAGCCAGATGTCTGCCTGCCATGCAGGCGAGCCTCACATTTAAAAAGAAATGACCTCTGATCTTTGCTCTCTTTCTGGACCAGTCTCCCAGCCTACCTGATTTTAATGTAATCATTTCATTTTTTTGTCCCCCACACTTTCCCTCTTTATTTTAGAGAGAGGAACGGAGAGGGAGAGCAAGAGAGAAACATCAATGTGAGAGAGAAACATGGATCAGTTGTCTCCAGTTTAGGGCCTCTTGGGATTTAGAATCCGAAGTTGAACCCACGATCCTTTGGTGGACAGGGGAAAGCTACTAACGACTGAGCCATACCGGCCAGGGCCGTACCTACATGCTATGAAGGGAGAGGTGAAAGTTCTCGCACCCCAATGGCAGGGTCTTCATTGCCCTGTGCTCACCAGAATCAACATGCGAAAGCGGCATGGTTTGGAGGCGCCTGGCGTATCTCCGAGGCCAATAAGACGAACACCAGTTTAAACCGGTTTGGCTCAGTGGATAGAGTGTCGACCTGTGGACTGAAAGGTCACAGGTTCCATTCTGGTCAAGGGCATGTACCTTGGTTGTGGGCACATCTCCAGTGGGGGCTATGCAAGGGACAGCTCTGATCGATGTTTCTCTCTCATCGTTGTTTCTAGTTCTCTGTCCCTCTCTGTAAAAAATCAATTAAATATTTTTTTTTTTTAAAAGGACCAACACCAAACAGGTGCACACACTGCATGCCACACACGCCATGGCCTGCAGGCGGCTTTTTGTGGGGTTCCAGATTGTGCAAAGCACCTATCCTTCCCCCAGGCCTCTCTCCCCCACCCCCTCCCCACTCGATACACCCCACCCCGACCCCACCCGCACCCCACCCACACTCCACCCCACCCCACCCCACCCCGACCCCACCCGCACCGCACCCACACTCCACCCCACCCCAAGAGCCCTGGGGGCCCCGCCCCGCCGGCCAGACCTCCTCCTCCCTGCGGCTCCGCCCACATCAGCTGAAGGCAGTATAAGAGGAGGCTGTACTTTCAGCTCAGCAGCCACTGTCTCTCTGCTGATCTCCCTCGCAGGCCTCTGCTCCCAGCTCAGGGCCCTCAGCTCCACCAAGATGCAGTGCAATGTGCGCGGTGGCATCTCGGACACTAAGCCTGCCACGGCGGAGATCCAGGCCATCGCTGACAAGGTAGGAGGACCAGGGCCGTCCCAGCACAGGGGCAGCCCCGCTGGGGCACTGGAGGGACCCGGGGCCTGGGCTCTGGGCTCTGCGAGACCAGGCTTAGAGGGAAGGGCCAGGTGTGGGTCCTAGGGCGGTTCCCGGCAGTTCCCCGGGGGAATGAGAGAGAGAGAGAGAGAGAGAGAGAGAGAGAGAGAGAGAGAGAGAGAGAGAGAGAGAGAGAGAGAGGAGCCAAGGCAGGTGGGTTGGAAGATAGCGGTCCGTGAACTCACTGGCATGTCATGAGAGTCATCCCCGTGGGCTCCCACAGCTCATCAAGCTGAGTTAACGAAAGTCCTCTAACCTTCCACACCTGGTCTAGTCACTCCAGCCAAAGTCAGCATATCCCATGGCCTACCAGTAGTCTAGAGAGCAGCCAGAGTCCTTGCAACCAGCTTTGATTTTACTGTAAGAAAAACCAACCAACAACCCTGTAGAGGGCCGCCTGGGAAGGCACCTGGGCATTCTTTTAACTGTTGCCAGCTGAGACAGAGACTGGCAGAGCCAAGGCTCCGATGCACATTTGCCCGAGATGGCAGGAAGTGTAATTAGCTTGGCCTTCATATCAGCCCAGGTGTCTGCAGGGGCAGGACTAGATATGTAAATCCAGGTATGCTAGGGCCTACTTAAGAATGCAAATAAGTTGTGATAACTTTCTGGTTTGGGGGTATAAAATAAATGTGCTGGGAGGGGTCGTCATCTTCCTGCCTCTCCAGCAGACAGGATGGCGGCCCACCCAGCTCCCAGCTTAAAATCTATCTCTGTGTCTTCTCTCTCTATTTCTGTTATTTCTCAATCCCTGGCCGCCTCCACTTAGAACCCGTTTGTTCATCTCTCTTTCCGAGCGGGACACGGAAAAGGGACATCCCCGCCATGTCTGGCCCCGCACCAACCTGCTCTCTCCTGCCTCCATGAAGATACTCGGTTAATAAGAGGCCAACATCCCGAGAGACGGGATTGAACCCCAAGTTTGATTTCTGTGTGAGACTCGGATCAGGATCAGCATCTGCCCAAAGGCATGGCGTCCTCAGGAAATGTCCTCACAATGCAGGAAGCACCTCTACCTGCAAAGCACTCTCTCTGCTGCCTCATCTGCTTCAAAAGCACTTGGGCACAGCCTCGGGGACCAGGAGGGGGAAGTTAAGAGAGTTTGGGCACATCTAGAAGATGGAAGGTTAAATCTACAATTAAAATTAACTTTAGTTTAAAATTCTAAACTTCCACGTTTTTAATTTTAAAAGCGTCATTAAAAAATTACAAACATTGTTGAAATGAGTTGTTTGGGTCTTAAGTAAAAAAGAAAAGCAGGGTATGAACTTGTAGGCAGTGTCATAATGATGAAGTTATAAAAACTTCCCACGTCTAGAAAAGAAAGGGCAAGTGAGATGCTGAAATCATACCTTTGGAACTGGGTAGAATTAAGGAATTGTTTGCTGCACTTTACCATTAGCGTGAACAGTCACAAGCATGTCAAACTTGATGGTGGGCCACATGCCTTGTGCCGGCCACGAGTTTGACATGCTTGGACATGCATTGAGGAATGATCCCTAAAGGGCGGGCCTTAGAGGTCAGTTGGTAACATCCCCTGTCAGTCACTCATGCAGGCCCGGTTTCCCCTCTCTCCTGCCCCTTAGGTGAAGTCCCAGCTGGAGGAGAAGGTAAACAAGAAGTACCCCACTTTCAAGGCCACAGAGTACAAGAGCCAGCTGGTCCAGGGGACTAACTACTTCATCAAGGTGGAGTGTCCGCTACTGGGGAGCTCATGCAGACCTGGGGGGAGGGAAGATCTATCGGGGCCAGGACATAGGTGCTTAAGGGGATTCCTGTAACCCTGGCTGTTGTGGCTCAATGGTTAGAACGTCAGCATGCACACCTAAGGGCCTCAGGTTTGATTCCGGGCCAAGGGCTGGTACCTGGGTTGCCTGGCCTCAGTTGGGATGCATGCAGGATGTGTCTCTCTCACATCGATCTCTCTCTCTCTAAAAATCAATACAAATGTTTTTAAACGAATAAAATGAGTGTGCATGCACTCCATTGAGAGGACTGAGCCTTTCTGGCAACTAAGGGCTCTGAGGAGCGAATGTAGAGTGCCCAGGGTGCTGGCCGGGGTGCTGGGTGTCCACTGCGCCCGAAGGAGGAAGATGAGAATGTCCCCACCCTAGCTGCTGATGCCCTGAAGGGACCCGGCCTCCAGGCTCTCAGGGCCTTTGTCACGCAGCCCGCCAGGCACGGGGACTTGGGTCAGAGGCAGCACCTGCCCCCCTCACTCGCCTCTCTCTTCCCAGATTCAAGTTGCAGATGATGACTTCGTGCACATCCGCGTGTATGAGAGTCTCCCTCATGAAAACAAGGCCTTGGCCCTGCACGACTATCAGACCAACAAGACCGAGCAGGACGAGCTGATCTACTTCTAGTTCTGGATCTTGAACTGAACCTTCGCCACGTGGTTCTCTGCCACAATAACGTGCTGGGGTCCTAAATGAGCGGCGTCTCTGTGCCGCTCTGCGCCAATCTGGCGTCTCTGCTTCTAACTGTAACAGCGTGATTTTCCTCCCAATCAATGATCTTAACAGAATTGCTTTCCAAGAGGGCTTAGCTGATCTCTAACTAAATACATTTTTATGTTTTTGCAAATTTCCTTTGTCGTGGATATTTTTTTCTTCATCTGAAACCATAACCACCATACAGACGTGTTTACAAAGGTCTTTCACGGCCACGCGTCAGCCTGAGCCAGCTGAGGAGGAGAGCCCAGCGGGGTTGCCCCAGGTCCCGGCAAGTGGGTGGTAGACCCAGGGCCCCAGTTGTCTGTTCCAGCTACAGCTCTGCACCCCGCTCCTGCTGCTTGGACTCTGCACCCTGTCTCCAGGCCTCAGTTGCCCTCCATAAGTAAGAGGATTCGAGTAAACCCGATTCTTGACCATGAGTTAGACATGTGCTCAGACAGTCACACTGTGTTTCTGTAGCAGCGGTCACAGGGCAGGGACAAAGGGTTGTGCACACCAGCTGCCCTGAGCACTAGCGGCCTGGGAGGCTGTGCGGTGCCTGCTATAACACAGAGCATCTGGGAGGGCCTGCCTGTTTCAGCAGGGGTCCTGCCCATTCGTGCGGTCACTATCTGATTGGTTTGCTCTGTGTTTGTGTGAAATAGAATTAAAGAATGTCCCTGACATCATAGGATTAATGACAGTTGGATGAGATTTCTTTCTTTTTAATTTCTTTATTAAGGTATTACATATTTGTCCTCATCCCCCCATTCCGATCCCCCATCCATCCCCACGCATACCCCCATCCCCTTGTTGTCCTCAACCACTGGTTAAGCTCATATGTATGCACTCAAGTCCTTTGGTTGATCTCTCCCCTTCATCCCCTACACTCCCTCTGAGGTCTGACAGTCTGATCCATGCCTCCTTGTCACTATCTCTGGGTCTATTCTTGTTCATCATTTCCCCCAGATGAGTGAGATCATGTCCTACTGGAAATACACTTACAAGAACTGAAAATGAGCCGAAGCCGGTTTGGCTCAGTGGTAGAGGGTAGGTCTGCGGACTGAAAGGTTCGATTCCGGTCGGGGGCATGTAAATTGGTTGCGGGAACATCCCCAATAGGGGGTGTGCAGGAGGCAGCTGGTTGACGTTTCTCTCTCATCGACGTTTCTAGCTCTCTATCTCTCTCCCTTCCTCTCTGTGAAAAATCAATAAAATATAAAATAAAATAAAAAACTGAAAATGAGACAAGTGATAATGGTTATAAGTTTGGTGAGATTTCTATCTGTGTGGCTCAGGGTCGAGGTAGAATACAATGAGTGGCATATTATTATGATATCTGAATGCATAATAATCTGGCTACTCCATGTATATCCTATATAATAAAAGGCTAATATGGAAATTGTCCCCTTGAACAGGAGTTTGACCAGCAGGCAGGGCAGCCAACTGCTCATGTCCCCTCCCCCTGGCCAGGCTGGCAGGCCCCCACCCATGCACAAATTCATGCGCTGAACACACACTGAGCGGCCAGATTATTATGACCACCCCATCAGTACTTCGTGGGTCCACCTTTTGCCTTCAGTACTGTGGCGATTCTTCTTGGCATTCACTCCGCAAGATGTCGGAAGGTGGTGTGAGGAGTCTGACACGGTGCCTGATGAGTAGCACTGTCCAGTCTGTGAGATTTGATGGTTGTGGAACCAGCTGCCTGATGGTTCTTTTAATTTTGTCCCACAAATGCTCCATTGGATGGAGATCTGGTGATTGTGGGGGCCACCTAAGCAAGGTAGAGTCTCCCAGGGCTGTGTTTTCTTATGGCAAACGGACACACAGCAAACAGCACAGGAAACGGTCATATAGAGAGAGTCCAGGAGACACCGGGAGGAGGCTTCCAGAATCCTCTCCAGGTGAAGTCACACAGGCCACACTTACCTCCCCCTCGTGGAGCTCTGACGAAACATGTAAGGTGTCGAAATGGAGAACACAGGACCCAAAATGGAGAAACACCCACTTCCTTTACATAAGTGAGTAAAGGTTAGTTAACATTTACAGTAAGTAGAGATGAATTGTGGGCAACAGCATAACTGGTGCCAGTGTGGTTATGCCTCCGAGGGGTTTGGAAAAGAAATTCACGCTGACTTATCAGAGGTATCTTTCCTAGGTGCATAAGAACAATGGGCAGGACTGCTCATTGACTTTTTTTCTTTAAATATATTTTTATTGATTTTTTTACAGAGAGGAAGGGAGAGAGAGCAAGCTAGAAACATTGATGAGAGAGAAACATCAACTAGCTGCCTCCTCCAAACCCCCTACCGGGTACATGCCCTTGACCGGAAACGAACCTGGGACCTTTCAGTCCACAGACCAGTGCTCTACCACTGAGCCAAACCGGCAAAACATTGATCTTTACCAGGAAGCAATGGGCATGGGATGTGATTGCCCACATGACCTGCAAACTAGGAATTTATTATCGAATCACCTTTGTGGTTACTGTCAGGCTCACCTAGCAGCGCCCCGAGCTTGTCCGGTCTGCTGTGTAGCCCCTTTTTCATTCACACATTCATTCATTCAGTCATTCATTCATGACTGAATTGTAGGGGTCTCTCCTTCCCCTCCACACCTGGCCTCCCACCCTTCCTGGAATTACAAACCAGGCTCTTCCCTGGCAGGTACCAGAAAAGCTTGCCTCTCCCACTTTCCTGCTCATGGGCCACTCCCATTGGGGTTCCGCACTGAGCCCTACAGAAGGCAAGGCTGGGCCTGCTCCTGCAGTCAGCACCCAGGTGCGGGAGAGGCCCAGCATCCCCTGAGGTGCAGCCCTGGAGTGGGGGAGGGGTGCAGCCTGAATGCTGCTCCCACTCCAACCTGAGACCCTGACAGGCATCTCCTCACTGGACTCCTTTGTGCCTCCTCTGCTCACACACATCAGCCCTTCACCGTGTGACCCTGGGTCACACACTGGTGACACCCAGAGTGGCTGGTGCAAGCTGGCTGCTGGGCCAGGTCTCGCAGATGAGAAGTGCAGAGCAGTCCAAGGCACTGTGGAGTGAGGCCAGGCAGGGCCCGGTCCTGGATTCCAGGATGCCCTGGCGGTCTCTGTCCCCCAGCTACTTCCGGAGCACAGACTTCTCTCCCTCCTGCTCTTGGGGACTCTCAGGTCCGGCTCCCACTCACCTCTGGGTTTCTCCCACCGAGAACCTGCCCTGCCGGCAGTGGCAGCGGAGTTCGGAGTTTGTAGCTTCCAGAGCTAAGGCCCAGGATGTGGGTCTGCAGCTTCAAGGGGAGGAGGACACATCACAGGAAGATGCGAGAGCAGAAGTTTGGTAGCCAGCTGTCTGCCTGCCATGCAGGCGAGCCTCACATTTAAAAAGAAATGACCTCTGATCTTTGCTCTCTTTCTGGACCAGGCTCCCTACCTACATGATTTTAATGTAATCATTTCATTTTTTGTCCCTCCCCCTATCCCCCCTTTATTTTAGAGAGAGGAAGGGAGAGGGAGAGCAAGAGAGAAACATCAATGTGAGAGAGAAACATGGATCAGTTGTCTCCAGTTTAGGGCCTCTTGGGATTTAGAATCCGAAGTTGAACCCACGATCCTTTGGTGGACAGGGGAAAGCTACTAACGACTGAGCCATACCGGCCAGGGCCGTACCTACATGCTATGAAGGGAGAGGTGAAAGTTCTCGCACCCCAATGGCAGGGTCTTCATTGCCCTGTGCTCACCAGAATCAACATGCGAAAGTGGCATGGTTTGGAGGCGCCTGGCGTATCTCCGATGCCAATAAGACCAACACTGCCGAAACCTGTTTGGCTCAGTGGATTGAGCCTTGCCTGCAGACTGAAAGGTCACAGGATTGATTCTGGTCAAGGCCATGTACCTTGGTTGCAGGCTCATCCCCAGTGAGGGGGGTGCAAGGGGCAGCTGATCAATGATTCTCTCTTATCGATGTTTCTAGCTCTCTGTCCCTCTCTCTTCCTCTTTGTAAAAAATCAATAAAAAATAAAGAAATAAAAAAGACCAACACCAAACAGGTGCACGCACTGCATGCAGCACACGCCATGGCCCGCAGGCGGCGCCCTCTGCGGGGTTCCAGATTGTGCAAGGCACCCGTCCATTCCCCAGCTCCCACCCCCCACCCCCGCCCTACCCCACTCGATGCCTCTCACCCCGACCCCACCCGCACCCCACCCATACTCCACCACGCCCCTTCCCACACCCAACCTCCCCAGGCGCCCGCCCCCCCCCCTGGTGGGACCGCCTCCTCCCCGCGGCACCGCCCAAGGGTTTAAGTGGGAGGCAGAGCTCACAGCTCAGCAGCCGCTGTCTCCCTGCTGATCTCCCTCCCAGGCCGAGCTCCTTCGTGCCCACAGCTCCCAGCTCCGTGCCCGCTGCTCCGCCAAGATGATGCTCGGTGGCCCCTCCGCCACCAAGCCGGCCACGGCTGAGATCCAGGCCATCGCCGACCAGGTAGGCGGCCCGGGGGTCTCCCGCCCCGCCCACAGGGGCAGCCCCGCCGGGGCGCTGGGACCGGGACCCTGGGCCTGGGCTCCGGGCTCTGCTCGCCCAGGCTCGGAGGGAAGGGCCCGGTGTGGGTCCTCGGGCGGTTCCGGGGGGAATCAATCAGAGAGAGAGGGGAGCCAGGGCAGGTGGGCTGGAAGGTAGCGGTCCGTGAACCCGGGGAAGAGATCCTACACGTCTACCCTTATTCTGGTGCTCCTTGTGTACGTTTGAAGTCATCCCCAAATAAATGTTAAAAAAGAAAAAGAACCAGAAACCAGGCTGGGAGGCAGAGGCAGAGCCTGGCTCAGACCCTGGGCAGCGCTGGACTCCGGTGCCTCCGTGTTCTCCTCTGGAAAGTGGGCATCCCTGGGGTGCCTTCCCCGGAGGTTCTGGGGGAGGGAAGGGGAGAGGGTGGAGCCACAGGAAGGGGAGACGGTGGGGCCACGGGAAGGCTCAAGTTTGGAGGAGACACAAAGTCAAACAAACCTGCTTCTTCCCTCACTCCATAGTACCCCTCCTCCCAACACGCCCCTTTGCTCAGGTGGTTCAGACCATCTGACCACAGTAACGGGTGAATCGGGCCCATGGGACTTTGAAAATGGGGAATCTGTAGAGACTGCCGTGTGAGCCAGCGTGGGCGAGGTTCCTCT